TCTCAGGGGCTCAGGGCTCATCTGCTCAGAGCACAGAGACTCGAGGGGCTCCCCGTAACTCCAGAGGGTTCTCAGGAATCCATGAAGGTGGAAAAGAGACCCCCCCACCCTGGACAAACGCAAAACTCAGACCGCCCTCACCTGTAACTGCCCGGGACTCAGATCACTCCCAGGCGCAGGGCATTTGGGGGGGGGTCCCGGGGTCTGCCACGTATGGCCGGTGACCCCGGGCAACTGATTTCATCCGCAGAGCCTCAGTGTCCCTCTCTATAAAACAACCAATTGTGCTGGGTTGGGGGTGCCAGCTCAGCAGGGTTGTTAGCATGTGGTGAGAGCCCCTGATTCATGTCTGTTACCCCCGATGACCATTCACCTGCTCCCCCACACTCCCCAACCCGCCACCAGGTCCCAGCCCGCCTCTTCCCGGGCGTCAGCAAAGGGCTAGGAGCCGCCAGACCCCGCTGCTGCCTTTCATCCCAAACTCGAAGGCTCCACTCAGCAAGCCGGGATCTGGAACAGATGTCTGAGCTCGCAGGGGGCTGGGAAAGCAGCGACCTCCACCAGGGGGCTGACCAGCAGCTGCTCCCTCCCTGCCCCTTACCCCACTCCCCCAAGGAGAGCCTGGGGCCAGCAGCCACCCACCCTCCCCTCCCAAGAGCAGAGGGGTCAAGGAGAGGGAGCCGGGCCAGCAGAGGTGGCCTGAGGACCAGGCCCACCTCCCCCGACAGCAGGGCTTCCGCTGGAAATATGGTGACAACCCCAGGCCTCTTCTCTCCCCCCCTCCCCAGATATTGTGAAATCCATGTCTCAGCATGGAGCAACCCGAAGCCCAACGGAACCAAAAATGGGCCGACTTTTCGAGTATTTCTCCATCCCTTCAGAGAGGCCACCCCCCAGGGGAACCTCAGGCCCGAGCTGCTCTCAGCAGTGACGTCGATCACCCACAAGGACTGTCACAGCTCAGCACGCGGCCGACCTGCGTTACAGCTGGGAGGTGGCAACTCTCACCCCCATTTTACAGAGAGAAACTGAGGCGCGAGAGGGGCTGGCGTCGGCTGTCGGAGGCTGTGCCGGGCCTGAGTCCAAAGCCTCTCGCCTTGTGATTTTATCCTATTCTGTCTCCAGGGCCCTGAGCTGGGCCCAGAAGCACAGACGGAGGAGGCGACATTGTCGCTCACTCATTCACTCACTCGTTCAGTCACCGCGTAGGGACCCTGTGGCGCCCTCCCGCATGCCGATGCTGCACACACGGCGGGAGAACGCGGGTGCGGTGAGGTGCACCAGAGTACACGCGTGTGGTGTGTGTGTACACGAGTGTGCGCATGTGAACGTGAGTCAGTGCAAGGTCTTGGCTCAGTGCGGGGTCTCGGCCTCAGCTTCCCTGGTTACGAAGGGATGGAACCCACCCTGCAGCTCAGGGTCCCGGGCAGAGTCCACGGAGCCACACCGCTGGGGAAGCACAGGGCTGGGCACAGAACCCAGACCCTCCCCCCACCCTCCCACCTGGTCGGTCCCCGGGCTGCCCCTGGATTCCACCGACACATGTAACACGTCAGCCAAACCCGCACCCTCTGTCATGGAACAGCGTGTCTCCTCCACCACCCCCACCCTGTCCCAGATTCCTTCCCCTGTGGCCTTGGGGGCCTGCCAGCCCCGTCCAGCCAGCTCCCCCAGCCTTCCTCCTCCATTGGTTTCCTGTCGCCCCGTCTGGGTAGAGACCACGCCCCACCTAGAAGTCCCACCTCGATTCTCACAGGCCAAGGGAAGGTGACAGGGCCCAGGGAACTGATTGAGTTTCTCGGGGCAGCAGTCAGCTCCGGCATGCTCTGCTGAGGGGGCCCAGTGCCCCCCACCTCGCTCGAATGTGATTGCCCCAAGGCACTGTCCCCTGGAGCTAGGAAGAGCTCGATCCACTGACAGAGCTCATGTCAAGGACTCTCTGCTCTGACCTTGGATACATTGCTCACAGATGTTCATTTCCAGACTGCCACTTAGCAGCTGTGTGTCGTTGGGCAAAACACTTAACCTCTCTGAGCCTCACTGTTCTCATCTGAAAAATGGGGATGCAGTCTCACAATCCCTTCTCCAAACTGCTTGACTCCAGGTATGTTTTCCAATTCCAAACTTTTTGGAGTTTAGAGGGATGGCCCAGTGCTCACACCATGGACTGCGTCACACCCAGCTGGGTCTGGGGCCACAGGCTCCACTCAAATGAGATGTCAGCAGCCAAATGTATGAATATTCACTAAGTAGACTACACAAGGTCTATAAATAGCCTCAGGTCACATTTAGCAGCCACAATAAATTATAAAAATACTTTGCGTTTTCAAAGCTTAGGGAGATTTTGCACCCACAGATAAGGAAGTGTGGAGCAGGGGAAACACCCGCTCCCTGAAAAGGCTGTGGAGGCTGCGACAGGCCGGATGCTCAGCTCAGGGCCGGCACGCCTAGGAGCTCCAGGAACAACCCGGATTGGGCTGGACTTGGAGGGGGGAAGGGGCACTCCCAGGCCGGCAGTGGGGGAGGGCCCGGGAGCACAGGGCTGGATCCAGACTCTGCATTCTCAGCCCAGAGATATAGGGCCCCTGCCCCCTGGCATGGGCCTGGGTGAAGGGAGGGCACAAGCGGAGCAGAGAAGCGATGCCATCCGGTCCGGCTACCCAGCAGCAGCAGGAGCACGGCTCCTGCTCAGAGGGCTAAACCTCCCGGGGGATGAATGCCTTGGCTCCTACCCAAGAAAGCACCCCGGGACTGCCCACAGCCTCAGGGGTTCACCGAGGCCCCGAAGCGGACCAGACGACCCAAGGTTAGGCTCCGGCCTTAGAAGGCAGACTAGCTCACCCCCTGGGAGGTCACCTCCCTCCTTCCCCACAACCACCACTGCAGGGCATGGTCTCTGCACCCAGATCCACCGCTCTGTATGGGGCTCCCGGGAGACTCCCCGCCCCTCCACCCCAGGGAACACCCATCCGTCTCTCCTTCCAGTTACTGGGGGCACAGGTCCCATTCCCGAGCCCCCCTGTCTGGGTTCTTTAGCCAACCCCATGACACCCAGCAGCTGCTGCCGCTGGTGCCTCTTGCCCCTGGCGCCTGGAGCGCCCCCTTACCCAGGCGCAGAGTGATGTTGACCGAGGTGGGGTACTGCACCCCGAAGGCCATGGACGGGCTCTGCCACCAGGTGCTGTCGTCCTGGCTGTGGAAGTCGGTGAGGTAGGAGGCGTTGTGGTGGCGCCGCGGGTCCGCCGCGTCGCAGCGCTGGCACTG